CTTCTTTCAGTCAACTCCCCCCCTGTGCAACTTTTAAATCAGGTAAATACGAAAATCGATGATTGATATTAAAATCGCGTGAATAAAAATCGAGATCTGAATTACGAAAATACGAGCTATCCAGCCGACGGATAAAAAATACGGAAAATCTCATTTTCTGTGCGTGAAATCGGAGAAAATAGCTAATATAAGTAAAAATGCGGAAGGGTTAGCAGCTAGGACGTAGTTTGAATTTTCTGTTTATCTTTGAAAATCGTAAATAAATATAACTATTTTACTACAACGACTGAATTTTTTTTAAAAAACAGGATATTTATTTAAAATAAAAAAAAAATAAAAAAACAAAACTTTTAGAGAATTAGAGTTTTTGATAAAAAGGCTGAAATTCGAGAGACAAAAAAAATCTAATCCCTGTATAAAGGCCAACCAGTTTTATCCCAAGGAAATGATTTTTAGAGAAACTTCAGAGGAATTAAATTCCTCAGAAAATATTTTAACTTTTTCAAAAAAAAATTTCAGTGGAAATTAGCGGGAAAAATCTGAAAAAAAAAAGCGGAAATCTGCAAATCCGCAGAAGAATCTCATCCCTGTATAAGAGTGTAATTTAAAAATCGTTGAGAGTCAAATTCAGTTATTTCATAATACATTAAATAAATTTTTACGGTATCAAATGAGTGCCATAAGTACCCTACCCTTTTTTATTTCTAGGGAGAACTCTGCCTAATATTTCAACAAAAGATACATGCATGTGCAAAAAACATGTGTATATTCAACAGGAAATTACTGAGTATAGATAATGTAAAAAAAGTTACCCCTAGGATGAAAATTCATTTTTAATGAATTTGCAGATCTTGGAGGTGCACCAGTTCCCTGTAAAAAAAAATTAGTAAAACAATACTTTAATACATTAAAAAAGAAACTGTGCTGGATCAACAAAAAATTTGCTAGTAAAGGATGAATAAAACAAGTTTCTAATTGTAATTGTTTAATTAATAATTTAATCCATGTAATTTTTTTAGTGTTTTCAAACCAGCAGTTGAGCATACCACTGTATACAATGGCATCATGAACAGCAAACATTTTTATTTGTGTTATGTTAGAAATGGCTTACATTTCAAGTTGTAACAGACATCACATTAAGCTTTTTGATTTGATTATAACACATAGCTGAAAAACGGAGCTTATTGGGCATAATCCAGGACTTAGTTACATTGCAAGGTCTATACCCATTTTTGCCTCATTAAGTGAAAGTCTTTTAAAACCGGGACTAGTAATTACTTGATCAAAAACTTCATTTATTTCAAATATGTACAAATTGACATGCTTTAAATGCTCAAAAACAGGCACCAATTTTCCAAGACTTAAAAGAAAGCAATGATTTAAAATATAAAACGTTAAGTTGTCAATGAAAAAATAAAGGGGAGAAACAAAACTAGGTAAATGACAGTTTTGTTCTTCATCTCTATTTTTTCATTTTTTGTTAGCAACTACATATTTTATAGTTCAAATTACTTTGGTTTCTTTTCATTCACATCTGGCAAGTCATAAAAATAGGCAGCTTTTTTCTGCGCTTGAAACATGTAGACTTATTTCCAATTTGTATATTTTTAATATTTTTGATTGTATTTATATATTGTATTGAATGTATCAAAGAAATTTTTAATCCAGTAATATCTTACTGATTCAGTTTCTTCGGATTATTTACTTAAGGACCAACAACGTTTGCCAAGAAACGTTGAAGTGTCAAAGCCATTTCATATCTTTCTTTTACGATTTCTCCAATTCTTTTTCTTGCAACATTACTAATAGAAAGAATTACTACAATGTACAAGCTTTAAACACTGTTTTAAACATGTTTAAGGCATGTACCCTGATGTTAGCACATAAACATCAAGAATACTCATCTTTATATTTAACAACAAAAAGAATATTGACACAATTAAATTAAATAAATCATACTAATTTTTTTAATAAAAAAGAAAAGAAAACTGTAACATTAGAAGCAGCAAAACCCTCTTTAGGTCTAAATCAAAAAAATGACTGAAACACTAAATAGAAAAATGAAAAACAATGCAAGAAAAAAAATTTGCTTTTCTAAATATAAGTTTTGTATTTTCTTAAGTTTTCAACATGAAAACTTAAGGAGTCTTTGAAAACTTAAGGAGTCTTAGCAGACTGAAAACAACTAAACAAATCTTTTAAACTTCTACTCGATACTTTTTTAAAAATATTACCAACTGTTTTTTAATCTTCTTACGGCACAAAAATTTTATTTTGATTGCAAAACTTATTTCACAGCTAAACAATTTAATTTTCCTATGTCCTATACTTTTAAAAATATAAAATATTATTAAGGGTCTGTCTAGGCTTTACTGAGAGGTACCCATTTTGTGAAAATTTAGACATAATTTGTGAAAATTAAAAAGTATATTAAAAAATCAACACAAAAATATGGATTTATCGTTTCTTACGGGATACAAAGATAAAATGTTAAGAAAAAGTATTTTGTGTTTTTCCTAAAGTTGAATTTGTGAAGGTACCGATAAATAGTAGGTAGTAAATTTGGCCAGGACAAACCCTTGATTATATTAACACTTACATTTTGTACACCAATAACTGCAATTTCTTCTTCATCATCATCATCCACTTCGATAGGATAAGGATTCATAAAACTATTTTCTGCTCCCATTCTCATGGAGCTTGAGTTTGCTTGACGAGATACTCGGACAGCCATATTTTTCAGAAATCCTGGAGTTATCCAACTAAGTAAAGTTTTACAAACGTCACTAACTTTTTTCCCTAGACCTGTAACTGTACAAGTGACAATGATTAGTAAAAATATGCAAAGAAAAATTTTAAAAAAAAATTTAAATTATTTTTCTTTCAAAAATCTTTTAATTAATCCACATATATACACAGTTAAACCTCGAACTTGAAGGGAAAGGAGAAAAAATTCGAGATACCGAAAATTCGAATTATCGAAAATCGTATATTATCAATGGAAGAATAAAGAAAAATGACCTTATTTACTATTCTATATTTATTCTAAAAACACTTTTTACACTTAAAAAGATTCAATAGCTGTTTGCTTAGAGATGTGTAGGAAAATTTTTCTATAACATTTTCTAAGTGGACTCTATAGCTTTAAATGTCTCCTCTGACATATTTGTCTGCCTCTCAATAAATCTCCTCACAGTGTCCACTACAGAAAGTGTTTGTTTGAGAATTGGTTATGATTATGAGAATCGATTATGATTATGAGAATTGGTTTTCTATTCTTGAAATTTTTTTGGGGGAATATTTTTTTATTTTCAGAAAAAAAAATCTACACTATTTATGTAGAAAAAAAGTTTAAGTTACCATAGGATTAGAAAAAAAAATTCGAGAAATCAAGGTTTATTTTAACATTGAGTGTATAGAAAATTTGAAGGGAATTTTTCTTCTTCGAGATATCGAAAAATTCGTGAAATCGAGGTTCGAGTTAGCGAGGTTCGACTGCATTACCACACATATTTAAACCACATATGGTGCACAAGATACTTAAATGATTTTAAAAAAAAAAATCAAACTAAGTAAAACTACAGACAAAATCATTCCTATGAAAAGAATTTTTAATTAAAATCATTCAAGCATATATCTTAAGTGGCTTATATTTACTTTCAAGAGGAAATTTCAAAAAAAAATTTTTGGAAAAAAAAAAAAAAGAGTACTAAAAATAAAATGGAAAAAGGGGAATGGGCAAGTTTGAATAAGCATTAAGTAATTTCCTGATTAATTTATTATATTACTTAACTAACTGGTAAGACAACAAAAACTATAATTATAACAGTAGGATGAAAATTAGTCTTCTTAACCATTGACTTACAAATATAATTTGTCATGTCATCTATTGACATGAAGGAAAAAATTCTAAAAAGCTTTAACTGCTCAGTCAGTCTCACACCCAGTAATGTAATAATTGACTTCAAAGCAGGGAGGGTTGGGGTTTTGGACGTCCTAAACTGGTTTTGGACAGGACATGTGGGCTTTACTTTCCTAAACTGAATAAAACTGTCGTAAACTGGGTAAAATGCTTAAAGTGTCCAAAACCTTGAAAAATTCTATAGGTGTAATCATTGTGCACATAATAATTGCATGTATCAACAAATATCTGATATTTTTTATACAAATTACTTTAACTTATTAAAGGAAAATAATATAATATAATAGGAAAAGGTTTATAATTTTCGAAGCTCCCCAGTTCATTGAACAACAAAAGTAAATACCTAATCCTTTAAATATAAATATGCTTTTAATACTGATAAATAATGTTACGATAAATAATGTTTTTGCATTTTTAATATTGCAATATTAAAGAATAATGGTTTTTAAAAAAAAAAATACTTAATTTGTTTAAAAATTAACCTTTTATTTTTCACAATATTTTTTTAAAAATTTTTTATAATTTCTGCATCACAGGATGATAAAAAAGACATCTATTTTTAAAAAAAATTGTTTTTAAATATAAATATATTAGTTTAAATTGAAAATACAAAATAACTGAAAAATGTATTAACAGTTTTGAAGGGCATAACATCAGTTTCAGTTACTGACACTGGTGATGTATCACCACTATGCTAAAAGAATCAAACATGAATGAAATAAAAGTATTCTTGAATAGTACTATAGATAAATAAACCTGTTTATGACTAACCCCTTAATAGCTTAACTTGTATGGCAAGGTCAAGCTTCAGTTACGTACTATTGAATGAGAGGACCAATTGAACCTGATTACTGATTAATAATCCTTTGCTTAATGTTTAAGTTGAAGAGTCAAACAATATTAATAAAACATTATACTTTTAATAAAAACAAATATTCTCTAGTAGATTTAATTATCAATATGTTATTAGTTCTATGTTTATTTTACCTTTTAAATATTGTTCAAATAAAACTGTAACATAATTTGAGTAAAAGGGTTTTGGACAGTTTAAGACAGCTTTGGATAAAGGGGTTTTGGACAGGACGGTTTAAACCGTGGATTAATCCATTCTATCCTAAACCTTGCCAACACTGCTTCAAAGCTATGAATGGCTGTATAAGCCAACTGGTTAATTGAAGTAACACTTAGAACAAATGGAAATTTTAAAAAAAAGTACATAAATAAAAATAGTACTAATGTAAGCATTAACTATAATTATCATATCATAACCACATTTTATTTTTACTTCTAAATAGGAGTCATTAAATATGTAACATTTTATTGACACCATCTGGATGAAACATACTTATTGCAGAGTCCACCCTTCTGATTTTCGCAGCTGGATGCTCATCCGCACTGTTATCACTAAAGAAAAAATAAATTCTTATATAAAATCACATTTCATCATATGGCAAATTTTTTTATTTTTAAATAAAAAATAATGTTTGTTTAATCACATTTTCATCGCCAGAGACTGAGTTGAAAGAAACCCAGGCTTTTTTCTTTTAACTTAAAAAAATAAATAAATGAATAAACATGTGGGGTTTATTTGGTTTAATTGGACATTTTTAAAGCTATTCAAGATGTCACCTAGTTTAACACTTTTCAGGTCTCAATTTTAATTTTTACCTCAAAAGATTTATTATTTTTGTTTAAAAGAAAACCTTCAAAGCAAAATCTTTTGCAGACTAATTGACTACAGTAATTTTGCTCATCTAACAATTTTCTTAATATAAATAAAAATATTAAAAAAAAGTATATTTTTAAATATATATATTATATATATAAGTTTAAAATAGGAATATAGGATTAGTTTTACTTTGAAAATGCCAGATTCAATATATTTAAGAATAATATAAAATCCCATATAATAAACCTGTTTAAAAAAAATTGAATTTTCAATCTTAAAGTACTGCAAGAAGAAATACAATACCTACATTTCTATCATGTTTCTTGATCTATCATGTTGACAGACAGAAGAGAAGAGGCATAATAGGTAGAAGATAGAAGAGAAAAATTATATATTCTCATTCTTCACTTAACTAGTAAAAAATTCCAAGCAAACTTCTCTTAAAAAAGGGAGAATGAAATGATTGACAGCTCATTTCTATCTTACCTAGTATTCTCTATGTATTACAATGCACATTCTCTTTTGTCTATCCAACTTGTTGTATCACCAGATTTCAAATTCACTTCTTTTAAGAAAGTGTAAATGGAATTCACAAAGTAAACAGGAAGGGGATTTTACTGTTCTAAACTGACTAAAACTGTCCTAAACTGTCTAAAACCTTCAACATTGGTAAAAGGTAAAAGTTCTATATGTGTAACCATTGTACATATAATAATTACATTTATCAATAAATACTTGATACTTTTTATACCATTTGCTTTAACTTATTAAAAGAAAATAATATAATAATAAGAACAGATTTGTAACTTTTGGAGCTCCAAATATTCAGTGAACAACCAAAGTGAATAACTTATCCTTTAAGTATGAATATGAATAAATATGTTTTTAATATTGATAAATTATGTTTTTGCATAAGGATAAAAAAATGCAATATTAAAAAAATTAATGAAGTTTTTTGATAGAACAGAACCTTGTCTGCTTCTTGTTCAGAAATTAACCTTTTATTTTCCCAAATACTTTTTTAAAATTGTGACATAATTTGAATAAAAGGGTTTTGGACAGTTTAAGACAAAGGGGTTTTGGACATGACAGTTTAAACCCTGGTTTCAAATGTGGATTAATCCAATCTGTCCTAAACCATGCCAACTCTGAGTCTCATAACTATATTAGTTTGAATGTTAAGTTTGCCTTATAAGTGAGTTAATCTTTAAAGCAAGGAAAGCTGTCCAACCTGTTTTATTACGCACCAAGCTCTGCTTTGGGTACATTTGAGAAAGGGAAAACCTCTTTGCTTGCCTCAAAACCAATTTTTGTTTACATTCAAAATAAAGATTAGGGTTTTTATGAGGTAAATATTTACGTTTTGTCATTAATTTCACTAGCAGTTAATTTGGCTACATTATAAAATGAAAATTTGACTAGTTGTTCATTATTAAGAGCACTGCCAAAGACCCTTTTCTAAAAAATTCTTTGTAAATCAAACAAACTGTCTTTCGGTCAATTTCAGTTGCCTGAGTAACAACACTCACTTTAAAATAAAAAGCTTATTTTTAGAGCTTTTGTAATGCCAGCAGGAATTGGTAGGAAAGTTTGTCCAGAATGTCAAGAGGTTAAAGAAATGCTTATTTAAAGCAGTTAACTTAAATGTAATTATTGTGATACAGAAATAAGTGCCAAAATTAAGAGAATAAGTGAAGGAAAACTGCCCAGCAAGTTCTAGATCAATGGAAAGTTTTTTCTACTTGTGATCCGGTTCAGTCATAACTGAAAATAGACTATTGCCATAAGTAGACGCCAGTTTCTGTGAGTTCAATGCAAAGTATAAATTCTCATGAATGATATAAAAGCACCACTATTAACTTCTGTTAATCAACCAGGGGTCTGCCCAGGCCAAATTTACTACCGTTTAGCGGTACCTTCACAAATTCAACTTTAAGAAAAACGGTAGTTTCACAAAATACTTTTTCTTAACATTTTATTTTTGCATTAAAAGTAGAAAACCTGAATTTTTAATTGTTTTAATAAGACAAACGAGACAAAATAATTTGCAATATAGACGAAAAATAAAATGTATTTAAGATTATTTATCTCATTTTGATAGGAACTTTGATATAAGCAATAAATATTACTTACTGCACTTAAAAAATGAAGACATAATATATTCTCCATACCATTGCAATAACTAGCAGTTTATTACTAAGAATTGAAAAGTAAAAAAAAACTGGTTAAATGCCATTGTTGCCAAAAAATTAGTTAAATGCCAAATAAGTTAACTTTTATTTTATATTATTCATTACTTTATCATGGGTTGAAATTTAATGAATTTTCTTTAAATCATTATTTCGTACTATTAAAACATTTAATTCCTTTATCAATGATTTAAGAAGAAAAAAAAACATTCTTTTTCAGGGAATTAAAAAAACTTGCATTTTTAATACTTTGCTATAGTACTAATAATTTCTTATTTTATTTATACTTCATAACTTATTTATTAAGAAGACAATGAAAATAATAATCAACATAAAGATGGAGGATATATTCAATCCATCAGTACATTACCAATCTATATATTTTGTAGGAGGGTCGAAAACCCTGAGAAGGGATCAATCCATTTAGTATTTTCCGAGTATATTTTTGTGCTATTTATGGTGTTTCTTCATACTTTTTTTTACGGACTGTACAACGTTAGATACTTGTGAAAGGTAAACCAAATCAGTTAATTTCGTCACCTATTTAATTTATTAAGGACATACAGAAATGTTTTTTTTTAACAAAATGTAATGTTGATTGATTTCTTGGTGCATAGGCAGGGATCTATCTTGGGTTTTTTTGAGAGGTACCCATTTTGTGAAAATATAGACATAATTTGTGAAAATGTTAAATTATGTTAAAAACTCAACATAAAAATATTGTAAAGAACAGAAATATTTTCAAAAATGTCACTTCAAGTAAAAATCATTTATAAACAGGTAAATTTATGTATATTTTTTCCCATATAATAAAGATAATTTTGATATTGTAAAATTTTGGGCTTAAAATTGCATCAAATTTTAAAATTCTGTAAAAATCATTGTCCATTGTTAAATTTCAACTTGAATTTAATTAAAACATGCATTTAACAATACTAGCACTAAAAGTTATTTTCAGTATGAAAACATTTTCGACTAGGTCATACAGAAAAAAGTTNATTATTTATCTCATTTTGATAGGAACTTTGATATAAGCAATAAATATTACTTACTGCACTTAAAAAATGAAGACATAATATATTCTCCATACCATTGCAATAACTAGCAGTTTATTACTAAGAATTGAAAAGTAAAAAAAAACTGGTTAAATGCCATTGTTGCCAAAAAATTAGTTAAATGCCAAATAAGTTAACTTTTATTTTATATTATTCACTACTTTATCATGGGTCGAAATCTAATGAATTTTCTTTAAATCATTATTTCGTACTATTAAAACATTTAATTCCTTTATTAATGATTTAAGAAGAAAAAAAAAATTCTTTTTCAGGGAATTAAAATACTTGCATTTTTAATACTTTGCTATAGTACTAATAATTTCTTATTTTATTTATACTTCATAACTTACTTATTAAGGAGACAATGAAAATAATAATCAATATAAAGATGGAGGATATATTTAATCCATCAGTATATTACCAATCTATATATTTTGTAGGAGGGTCGAAAACCCTGAGAAGGGATCAATTCATTTACTATTTTCAGGGTATATTTTTGAGCTATTTAGGGTGTTTCTTCTTACTTTCTTTTTACGGACTGTACAACAGTATACTTGCGAAAGGTAAACCAAATCAGTTAATTTCGTCACCTATTTAATTTGTGAACAACATTTAGAAATGTTTTTTTAAAACAAAATGTAATGTTGATGATTGATTTCCTCGTGCATAGGCAGGAGTCTGTCTTGGTTTTTTTTTAGAAGTACTTATTTTGTGAAAATTTAGACATAATTTGTGAAAATGTTAAAAACTAAACTTAAAAATATTGTAAAGAACAAAAATATTTTCAAAAATGTCACTTCAAGTAAAAATCATTTATAAACAGGTAAATTTACGTATATTTTCCCCATATAATAAAGATAATTTTGCTGTTTTAAAATTGTGGGCTTAAAATTGCATCAAATTTTAAAATTCCGTAAAAATCATTGTCCATAGTTAAATTTCAACTTGAATTTAATTAAAACATGCATTTAACAATCCTAGCACAAAATTATTTTCGTTACATGAGAACATTTTCGACTAGGTCATACAGAAAAAAGTTTAACAGAGGAAAATTTTTTTCATAATAATGTTAAACTTTTGACTTTTTGTAAGTTTGCAAAGGGAGAGCCTCGTTGTTTCATTTTAAAAAACTGAGCTAAAAAAGAAAGTTTGTTTTGATATGACATTACCACATTGCACCATCTAACCAATCACATGCTACCTTTTCGCAAAAGACGCCTAGCAAAAAAGCTCCTCTTTTCCCTAAATTGCAACGAGAACGGGGTTTGCACAAGAACTCGATTTATTAAAAGCATTTTGAGAAACTACCGCAAAACGGTAGTAAAGATACAATGGACAGACCCCTCATAGGTCACCCATGCATATACGAAAATATCAGGAAAATTTTTATTATTAAGACTATGCAATAGGTCCCATGGTGATGCTCAGATATAAAATTTAATCTACAGCAACAAGAATATAAACAATTAACAGAACTAAAAATTTTTTTAGATGTTTTGAATAAGGTTACTAAAATCAACAGGTTAATTTTTATACCTTGGTAACCATATATAATGAACATAATAATAAAAGAAAAAAACATTATTGTATGGGTCAACAAATTTCACTAAATGAACTAACTTCACTAAATGAACTTATTTTTAACCCGAGTTAGCATGATAAATCAAATTATCATTAAAACAATTACAGGAAATCACGTTAAAACTCTTAAAATAACACCTAATTAAATAATTTGAAACAATCAGAAAGGCTTCGTAAGTATAAATATATTTCATGACAGAGTATTAATAATCAAGATCAACAACATACAAAAACAAGAAAAATATTTTCACAGCTAAGTTAACAGAAAGTATCATTGCTGACAGCAATCATAAATGTAAAAGTCTTATTACTTTTTGATATAAATAATAGCGCAAGTTAGTTAAAATGAATATACAACGTTTTCACCTACTTAAATGAGATTTAAAACGTTTTTTGAAACTGAATTTTTTGACACTAGGCAACACTATAGCAAACTTAAGCGAGAAATTGAGAACAATTAAAAAGAACTATTGAGATCCTTAGGAGTAAGAGTGTTAAAATATACAGAATAAAAAAACGTTGTTTATCATCGTGCTACACATTAACAAGCATACATACCTGGTAACAAACTCAGATCTGCGTTTGCGTTCTATTCTGTCAGACGACATTTAATGCATGAAGACCTTGTATCAAAATTAGAAAGATTAAATAACAAATTGGGATAACAGTAAGAATACATGAATCCCTTAATTATTTTAAACCATTCACAACAGCGTATTAAAATTTTAGAATAAATAAAATAACAGAACAAGACAACTTGTACGCTTCTTTTAAGCAATTACAGTTAAAGATAATAATTTTAAAACCCAAATTGGTACAAGAATAATCTAAAGGTTCATTCTAACTGCATGAGATTCACCCATTTGGAATCGCCGAAAACATGATTGGAGAAATTTCGATACTGTTCTCACTGCTTATGACTCTAGGCAATCAGAATTGCAAGAATCGCATATAGCGTTAATTGTTCCTAAAAACAATATCTTTCAGGAACGTGCAACTGAGAGTCCGTTTAAAGATAAAAAAAATTGTAAGCGAGAGACATAAATACGCTTTAAATGTTTAGAAACAAAATGTAAGGGAGCATTTCAGCTGCAAATAATTTCCACACCTGATCATCGTCGAAAGATAGAGAGAACTTGATTGGAGAGTTCTTCTCGGGGGAGGGGAGGGAAAATATGTTTAACCAATAAGGTTTACTATATTTCCTCCATGGTGATCGGAGTTGCGTGATCGGCATAAAGTGAAATTGGCCCTTAAGAGGAACTGCTCCATTACAATGCGAACGAGACCCTGTGAATACTTTTCAGCCAGTGGCGGATCCAGCAGGGGCTGGGGGGGGGGTTGCCAAAAAATTCAAAATTTGGTGAGAAATTTCTTCATTTAGTGGGATCCCGCAGTGGACTGATCGCTAAGACACGGTTCCCAGCAGATCACCGAAGTCAAGCATCACTGGCTGCGGTCAGTGTGCGGGAGGGTGACCACTTGGATTAGCTTGCGTAGGGAACGAGGGTGTGCGGTATGGGTCCTCGTTAAACTGTTCTACCGTAAAGTGCTCGACTTCGCATGCAGGTCGTCGTCGGGCTAGCGAACAGGGGTGTCATTCCCTCTGCAGAGGAAAATTATGATGGCATGTCTTCGGATCATCCTCAGGGATGTTTCCCTGACCGTCGCTAATAGCCCAGTGCGACGTAAATGAACTACAACAACAACATCATTTAGTGGGAGAATAAAGAGGGAAGATCCACCACGCCTGGCTTTAAAAGCGCTTTTCCATATAAATGCTGCCATATGACAATTGGCGATCGAAATGGGCTGCAGGTGGCGTAGAGCAGAACTCTTTTCCTATATGGCAACACTTCACATGCTTTCCCCATTAGCGTGTGGAAAGTCAAAGAGGAAGGAAGTACGTTAGTTTCTCTCCGGATTTTCATATAGATTAAAATCTTTTAACTTGAAAACCTATATGGAACTGAAAACTGCATTAAACATAGTTCTAAAGAAAAGTATCATGGAAATTTTAAGAAATATTTTTATTATATAAAAAGGGAAAATATCGTAGTACATTCCTATACAACTGAAAGAAGGAGGAGAGGGAAGGGAGAAGGGCTAAAGGCATGAAACCGGTTTCTCCCCAGGTGGCGTATTCGAGCGTTGCGATCGCGATTTATGAAACATAAAAGTTTCCAATTTGTGTATAAAATATTGCACTTAAAACATCATTTTCGTGCAACTCAGTCGCATTAAGCTAGTTTTCCTTTTTTTTAAATTTTATTTAAGAGAGAGAAAAAAAAGCAGAATATTAAAGGAAAAAAACGGATTGATTTTTCTCTTTTTAAATTGGAAATTCTAAAATAAATACATTATGAAAAGAAGTTGCTCACTGTTAAATCCTCTAACAAAATAAAAAATAATTATCATGTCAACTTTAAAGTCTAATTACAACAATTGTCTTAAAACAATTGTCTAAATCAGGGGTTGCCAAACTGTTTTGATCATCGACCCCTACATAATTTTTCGAAATCTCCATCGAACCCCATAAAAGTAATTTTCCGTTAATTAAAATAAAACTCTATTAGATACTGTGTCTGTACATTTATTTTATGATTTTGAACATTTATTAAAGTAGTAGTACATAGTGTAACAATAGTTTTATGAAAAATATATTAATGTTGAAATATAAATACCTTAATATTTATGAAATAATAAGTAATTATAAGTAAGTAGAAATAGTAAGTAAAGTAAGTACGGATTTATTGCTCCTTAATCAATGGCATGGGTGTGCCTGGTGTTTTTTTTTCTGCAAGGTTCGTTATATTGGGTTCAAATTTGGTCGATTTTAATCTTAAATCCCCTCGAAACTCCACATTAATTTTATTTCTGTTCTTAGTTAAGATTGAATTTACGTGACTGAAACCGGCTTCAACCATATAGGCGTGTAACACCNNNNTGAAGTGTTTTGGTATGCTGCATCTTATAAACAATAATAATAAATAAATGCAACATGTAAATTACTATATAAATATATTCAGATTATTGGTACATGCTTAAAAACATAGTTGATCGTACATGTGTTTTTTTTGTATACATGATCACAGAGAGAGTAGAAGTGGAAGTGAAAGTTTATATCTCCTACGAAGATTGCAGTTAAAGTTTTTGTTGCACGCCTTGATCTAGATGGCGCTGCAGACCCTTCCGGTTCGGATCGACCCCCATTCGACCCCCTGGCTCAGATCGACCCCCGCTTATGTTAAATAGACCCCTTTGGCGACCTCTGGTCTAAATATTTGTAACTTTACTTTTATTGTTGAAGTTACTAAGTGCACTGTAGGGGAAATGTATTTTATTTTATTTTGACATGGTTTAATGCGATTTTCAGCATAAATTTACCCTTCCTTTTGTAACTATAAATGCTTTTTTCATGAAACTGAAAGTTATTTTTTTCCCACCGAGTTTCAAGTCAAAGATTTTTTCGAGACTTCAATTTGCTTGAAAGTTATTTCGAATTTAAAAGCTTTACTTTTGTGATTTTTCCTCTCTTCTTTTGCTTTAAGTTACATTTTGCTTTACTTTTTAAGACAAAAATTTGAAATTACGAAAGTGAGTGGAAGAAAAACAAAGAGTTCAATAGAATAAAAAAATTGAAATGAATCAACAGAGTGGAAATTTAGCATGATGAAGTATTGTAACTTCACCGAGAGCTTTTTTTCTTTCCTTGAAATACCTATTTGTAGTCACATAATGTTCATAATAATAATAGATTTTATGAACAAAATAATCTTTTTTATTGACTTTTGAGAAGAAAGAAAGAAAAAAAAAAACAATGATGAATGAGAAGCAACCACTACAGTTGGAGAGCTAGAAATGGTTTCTCAGAGTATCGCTAAAAAAAATTTTGATCACTTACAAATAATGTCATTATATTTGATTTGCTATTTAAAACTATCATATATATGACAGTTCATATATCATATATATAATATAATACATACCATATGGTATGTATCATAAATTAAAATGAAGTACTATTTGACACTGACCGCATATAGCAATGATGACTGATGACCATATATGGTAGTACTTTTACTTTCGTTACTTGTACCGACGGTACCAGTAAAAAGTACGTACTTTTACTTGTACTTCGATACTTTTTAAATTTAGTACTTTTACTTGTACTTTCGCTACCTTTTTAGGGAAAAAGTACAAGTATTTGTAACGGAAATGTCGAATGAAATCGTTACTTTTTTCTAAAACTCGGTAAGCTTTCTAAAAAAAAAAATTTAATTAAAAAAAATGCTTATGTTTTTTCAATTTATAAAATTAGTGTGCAATATATATGCATTCACAGCTAACTTCGTGTTTAAATACCATGACCTTTTAAAATGAATAAAAATATTAATTAGCAAGTTATTTTCATTCATTTTCGAGTTTTATGTATTTATTTAATACATTTCAAATGAGAAATGTTGAATTTTGTCATTACGTTTTTCAATTTTCTTTTTGAACTCACTAATAATACATTTTTGTCTTAATACATTTTTCATTAAATACATTTTTTACTAAATACATTTTTACCTAGTACATTTTTTACTAAAATTATGTTTATGCCCGACCTTGTCAAACAACGTCCAGTCAAATCTCTAAGAACTTCAGAACTATTTGTGGTATTGAAAACTATTATAATTACTATTTTAACTCTTGAAAACTCGAAGGTATTAATTTAGCCGCTGATACTAAAATTCGTTTACAAATTTTAATTATTCCGTTAGGCAGAAATGTTCGGAAAATGATTTTCTCGCATGACTTCAGCATTAGCCATTGTTACAAATAAAACTGTAGACTGTTCTGTTTCAACTTATACTGCACATTCAATTATTTTTTACTAGCTCAAAGATCACAAAGCTATCTGAAACCCCGTGTTTGCTTTGTTTATGTTTGTGCTTTTAAAACGCGTTTCTATAGAGTAAAACAATTTTAAATCAATGTTAATTTAAATAAATAAAAATAATAAACTAAAAAATAAAATCAATAGATAAAATTTCTTTTTCGTGCAAATCCATAAGAAGTTTGATATTAAAATTATATTTAATTTTAAAATTATATTATACTATTATATTATAAAAATATATTATAATATTCCTCCGAATTTAAAAATAAATTTATGTCCATTAACTTTCAAAATTAAAAGTAATGAAATAAATAACAAAAATTTTGCAAAAAAATTCAAGAACATAAGAATATTATTCATTAAAAGTTTAGTATACTTTGAATTTTCGATTTCCAAGAAATGTTTTTTTAAATCGTTACTTTTTTTGTTTAGTACTTGTACTTTTACTCGTTACTTTTTAAAAGTGACGTTGCCATGTATGCTGATGACGTTATCTGTCACTATCAAAGTTCAAACGTAATAATAATAAAAAAAGAAACCCATTATGGTTTGGATATTGTTTGGTTTTCGAAAGACTAGTCCTGAACTAAATAGTTTCCATATAAATTTAAAAAGCCAAATGAAGAGAGTTATAGGAATACTTTTCTTAGTACATCAAATCTCTTTTTTAATATTTTTAGTTTGAGTTATTGCATTGCGTCCAAAATTTTACGATGTATATATAAAAGCGGGATGTATGGTTAATTCGAGAACGGGAGTACCGTGTAGATCGTGTTTTTTTTCTTCAATTTATAAATTTTTATGGGATAGTTTGTATGAAGGCACCACTTTTTGGTGTCAATTGGTTCAGGTGCAATATCGAAAATACTAAATTTAATTTTGGAAACCCATTGTAACAGACAAAACTTTTCCTAATATCTTTTGAACAGCTTCACTCAATTGAGTTTTTTCTTGCAGATTTCGAAATATTTTTTTGATTGTTTGGCGATATTTTCCATCCCTCTATGTTGTGTCTTTCGAATTTTGAAAAATGCGTGTTTTTCATTATTTTAACGTTGTGCTGTCATGGAAACAGCATCGTAACAAAATGTTAAAAAATAAAAATGAAAATCGAAGCAGACGAATTTCGATAAAAAATGAAATATCTAATTAAAACCAAAGTTTGTGCATGAAGTGAGAAAAAGTTCTTGGATTGGATTGAACAAATATGTCTTTCTTTGGATTGAACCCCCTTTTTTGGATTGAACAAATATTTATATTTATTTTACTTTATAGTTTCATTCATTTTATAATTTGCACTTTATATTATACTTTACATAATACTGTACACTTTGCTTTATACTCCACATTTTACCTTACATTTAATTTTATCTGTACTTTATTTTTAAAGAAAAGTAAGATGCAAATATTAGTATTTTGAATTTTATAAAATAATAATACTGAACAAAAGCGCAAAATAATAATATTGAGCAAATATTAATATTTCACGCTTTACTCTAATTTATACTCTAAGCGTTACTTTACTGTTTTATACTTTACTATTTCATACTTCACGCTTTGCTTTATACTAATTTACACTCTACTTTATATTTTATGCTTTACTTTACTTTTTACAATATACATTACGCTTTACTTTATGCTTAATTTTACGCTTTACTTTATGCCTTGCTTTTTACTTTACTTTTCACTTGACGCTTATTTTACGTTTTACTTTAAATTACTTTACGCTTAACTTTAGTTAACTTAAAGCTTTATTTCAATTTACCTTACGCTTAATTCCTTACTGTACATAATTTTTTACTCTACATTTTACTTTTACTAATTTGCTTTACTCTTAACTTTAGTAAACTTTGCGCTCTACTTTAATTTACTTTGCTCTTTATTTCTTACTGTACATTATCTTTTACTTTACATTTTATTAAAAAAAAAGTAACGTTCCCTTTTATGCTAATAAAATAACTAATAACACGCAGAAAAATGCGTTCAAATGATAGCAGGTGATTAAAGGGTAAAAGTTATGAGGTCAATGAATCCTGGATACCCTATGTTTAAACTCATACCGATTTTCCGTTAACGCGAGTTTTAATCTTGAAGCATTAAATCAGCAATTCAGTAATATATAGACATCAGTGATACGAACATGTTAGAGACAAATATACAATCCACCCTCACTTGAGCAATGAGAGTATATTTGCGTATTGTCTTGCTTTTTGACTGTACGATTTTAATTCTCAAAGTATTTGAAATTCCACTTAAATTTAAAAACTGACGAGCTGGTCACCGGCGGTGGCTAGTTTTTAATAAATAAATTATTTATTTTCAGGCAGGATGGCAGGATTTAATTTTGTAAATTAGTATTAAATATTGTGACCAGCCTGGTTGCCAGGGCGCTGGACTCATGTTTGTGGGAGCGGGAGTTCGAATCCAGCCGGCTGAGGATCCCCGTGTCGTGTCTGGTGCATGTTAAATCTGTCGGGTCACAAAGTTGCCCATGTCCCCATAACAAATCAATAACTTTGGGGGTACTTAACTAGAGATTGAACGCTCTGTGATTCTGGTCAAAATTATCTGTGGATGAATGAATGGCTGTATGAATGGATCCGCCCTATAAACGGCTGTGACGTATGGGTGCGACAGGCTTTAAATTCTTGGTCATAGATGGCGCCAGTGGAAAACAAGAACAATCGCACCCTTTCTGCCTTAAAGGCAGACGACGACAACAGCAGTTTTAAACATTGCCGCATTTAATATTAATTTACATAATTGAAATATTGTGACCTAAGATTAACTGAGTTATGATCTATTTTTAAAAGTACTAGGATGTCCCACGCCCTGCTCGATCCACTCATCAATCCACAAAATTGCTGCTTGATCATCATGGAATTGTTTAACAGTCGACGTTTTCAACGAAATTAAAAAAATATATATATTTTACAAAATATGTAACTACTATAGTTTTATACAAGAACATTTCGATAATCATAACAAAATGAACGATTATCTGTATTTATTTATTAATTTTACTTTTAAAAATCCTTATAAGGAATACAGATTGCGTGATTCAGTACGAAGAAAAAAATAAGAAATAATTTTAGACTTATTCAAATTGAAACAGGGAAAGGTTTTTATCGTTCTTATATTAAATTTTTAATTTTTTAAAATTTCAATAGAAATTTCATTTTATTTAACTTCATTTTATTTAAACTGAACGAATCACCACGCAGGAATTTCATGACAAAAGACATTAAAGTCGATCTGACTGTCGACAATGAGGAAAAAGAGGTGAAATAGCGACCATTAAAAGCGTCTCCTACTTTCATAAGGCACTCAAATTTGTTTAGATATTTTAATTCATCTCTGTTTCCTCATGATTCGACAGATTTCAATAACGTTTTTATTATTTTTTTTTACTTGAATCCTTAATGTGCATATTTTTTGAATACCTTTTTGACAAGAATTTTAATATGTATATATTAAAGGACAATAATTTTTTTTACTCCTCTACGAATTATTTTTAAAGTGGAAATCCTTAATGAGCATATTTTTTGAATACCTTTTTGACAAGAATTTTAAAATGTATATTAAGGACAATAATTTTTTTTTACCCCTCTACGAATTCTTTTTAAAGTGGAAATCCAATTAAAAAGTTTTCTCATTCATAGCCGTAACACTCTGACTGTGTCTAATAAAGTTGTTTCTGATTATTTAATACAAAATTTGATTTATAATAATTAAAAAAAAACGCTTAAAAACATTTCACAAGCAACATTTTATTATTTAAGAGCGAAAAGAGAGCGAACAAACAATATATTCATATTTACAATATCAGAGGTTACATCCTCTGTGGAATTTTATTTATATCTCTCTTAGCCACTCATAGATGGCAGCACAAACGTAATTTCAATAAAGATTTGAATTGTGCTCTTCTGAGTTTTGAAGGGTCGAGTCCCAAAGGAAGAATTCTTCCTTCGTTGGGGTTTTTTTTTCACAGTCTTGCTTTGATGAATATATTTATTACTCTTTTGATTTCGGTTCTGATTCATCTGAAGCGACTGGAACTTGTTTCCCTCAAAGCAGATAATCAGAACAGATATAGATTTCTTCTTCTTTTTTTTCAGGTCATAGAATTAAACATCCTCTGAAAGACCCTGATGGGATTTGTAGTTTAGTTTTTTCAGGCGTCCTTACTTTTTCTTTCGGAATCTTAAAAGAAAGTTCTGGATACCAGAAGTATAATGATGCAGCACAGTGGATGAATGGTGTAAGGACTCCACGTACTTTTATTTGAAACTGTAAAATAAGATTATAAGAAAATAAGAAATAATGTTTGGNATTGCTTACACATTATACTAAAAGTAAAAAATAGTTCAGGAAAATAATAGTTGCAAAATTCACAGAAACTACCAGTTCTAAGCGGCATGCCGAAAGCTTGGTTGCCAAAATGTCATTCCGTCACACAAGTAAAAAGTTCATAAAATTAAAAATAAAAAAAATACAAAATTCTTTTTTTTTAGTTTATGAATCACATTATACCAATAATAATGATATGCATGAGAAAAAATCATGTTTATTTGAAATTAGATGCATAGAAACTTCAATTAATTGTCATCATGCAAGTCAAAATGTCATTCCGTCACATATGGAATTGCCCAACTACTATAGTTTTATACAAGAACATTTCGATAATCATAGCAAAATAAACGATTATCTGTATTTATTTATTAATTTTACTTTTAAAAATCCTTATAAAGAATACAGATTGCGTGATTCAGTACGAAGAAGTAAATAAGAAATAATTTTAGACTTATTCAAATTGAAATAGGGAACTGTTTTTATCTTTCTTATATTAAATTTTTCATTTTTTAAAATTTCAATAGAAATTTAAGACTTATTTTTCATTTTATTTAAACTGAACGAATCTCCACGGAGCAATTTCATGACAAAATACATTAAAGTCTATCTGATTGTCGACAATAAGGAAGAGAGGTGAAATAGCGACCATTAAAAGTGTCTCCTACTTTTATAAGGCACTCAAATTTGTTTAGATATTTCAATTAATCTCGGTTTCCTCATTATTCGACAGATTTCAATAATGTTTTTATAATTTTTTTTCTTACTTGAATCCTTAATATGTATATTTTTTGAATACCTTTTTGACAAGAATTTTAAAATGTATACATTAAGGACAATAATTTTTTTTTCTTACCCCTTTTCGAATTCTTTTTAAAGTGGAAATCCTTAATGTGCATATTTTTTGAATACCTTTTTGACAAGAATTTTAAAATGTATATTAAGGACAATAATTCTTTTTAATGTGGAAATTCTTAATGTGCATATTTTTTGAATACCTTTTTGACAAGAATTTTAAAATGTATATTAAGGACAATAATTTTTTTCACCCCTCTACGAATTCTTTTTAATGTGGAAATTCTTAATGTGCATATTTTTTGAATACCTTTTTAACAAGAATTTTAAAATGTATAATATTAAGAACAATAATTTTTTTCACCCCTCTACAAATTCTTTTTAAAGTGGAAATCCTTAATGTGCATATTTTTTGAATACCTTTTTGACAAGCATTTTAAAATGTATATTAAGGACAATAATTTTTTTTACCCTTCTACAAATTCTTTTTAAAGTGGAAATGCAATTAAAAAGTTTTCTCATTCATAGCCGTAACACTCTGACTGTGTCTCATAAAGTTGTTTCTGATTATTTAATACAAAATTTGAGTTATAATAATTAAAAAAAGAGCTTAAAAACATTTCACAAGCAACATTTTATTATTTAAGAGCGAAAAGAGAGCAAACAAACAATATATTCATATTTACAATATCAGAGGTTACAACCTCTTTAGAATTTTATTTATATCTCTCTTAGCCACTCATAGATGGCAGCACAAACGTAATTTCAATAAAGATTTGAATTGTGCTCTTCTGAGTTTTGAAGGGTCGAGTCCCAAAGGAAGAATTCTTCCTTCGTTGGGGTTTTTTTTTCACAGTCTTGCTTTGATGAATATATTTATTACTCTTTTGATTTCGGTTCTGATTCATCTGAAGCGACTGGAACTTGTTTCCCTCAAAGCAGATAATCAGAACAGACATAGATTTTTTCTTCTTTATTTCAGGTCATAGAATTAAACATCCTCTGAAAGATCCTGATGGGATTTGTAGTTTAGTTTTTTCAGGCGTCCTTACTTTTTCTTTCGGAATCTTAAAAGAAAGTTCTGGATACCAGAAGTATAATGATGCAGCACAGTGGATGAATGGTGTAAGGACTCCACGTACTTTTATTTGAAACTGTAAAATAAGATTATAAAAAAATAAGAAAAGAATTGTTAAAAAAAATTTACATTTATTATAAATTTTAAATTGGAGCTCTATACTTCAAGTAATTATTTTAAAAAGTAATTAAGTAAAGGAAAAATTTGAATTAACATTTTCTTATTGGGTTAAAAAAGAGATAACATTCTATTTTTGTCACGTAAGACACATCACTTAGGAAAGACGTGTGGGGGAGGGAAGGAATTTTTAGTCGAGATTGGAACAAATTTCGAATGTGATACTCAGTTAGTTATCACTTTTAAGGTATATATTGGTATTAGGTTTGTATTAGTAATATGTTGTCTGTTTGAAGTAAATTTTAATTTTTGCGTATTTCGCTATATCTCTATCTTCGCTATATTCTATAAAAAAATTTATGCACAATTATAAAATTCGTTTATCCAAAAGTAATTCCATGCAAAAAGTAACGTTAAGTAAATATTTATTATTTTTTATTATTTCATTTAAGAATGGTCGAAAAACATTTTAAAGAATGTTATTTTACATGGCAAAATGCAAGATTTGTACGAATTTGGACGAATAGCTCCTGAGCTGAGAAACTTAAAAATTCATTTCTCAGGAACTATTCGACGTATTTGGCTCAAATTTTGTATTTTGCCGTATGGAATTACGTTTTTTAAAATGATGCAAAGAAATCTATACCTTACGATTCAAATTTCTTTAGCCCATTCTCACTAAAAAATAATAAATATTTACTGGAAGATATTTTTTCACATGGAATTATTTTTGGATAAACGAATTTTATAATTGATTGTAAAAATCTTTCAATTCTCTATTCCTATTTTACTCGAGATGCAGAAATATAGGCAAATAGTAAAATTAACATTAAGGGTTCCAAACTTTGAAGCGATCTCCTGTCCAAACTATTGGGACCATATTTCCCAGAATGTTACTACCCCCTATATTTTGGGGGTTAGGAATACGAATCCGTCAGAAAAAAAGGTATCTTAATTCAGAGAAAGTACGTGCTTGTATCTCATTTCGTAACTTAAACTATCGTTTGCCCTTATTAATTAGCATATTTGAGGTCACCCCCTCGAGCTCGATTAAGACCAAGAACGTGAAAATTCAATCATTAGATCAAAAGTTATTTAGGGTGGACCGTTTTTATTTGCGCACTGTTTTGCGTCCTTTATTTGTAAAAATTACGAAGTATATGGCCAATTTTAAAAGATTTAGCGCTATGTCCTAAAATTATGAGTTTCGCAGGGCAAGTTTCTATAATATTAGTTTCTAAATTTTCGATTTTAAATTTTGAAATTTAAAAACCGCTCATCTATTCCCATCTTGAAAAAAAAAATTAAAAGTCAAAGGAAATATGAATAGCACCATTTTAAAGATTGACACAAATGAATAGGATTTACGCCTGAGAATTATGGGGACCAACTTTGCAAAGTGAAATCTCAAAGCAATCTTTTTCATTGCTCTAGAAGTGTGGCAGGTCTCACTATGTTTTCGAAAATACTTCTCGACTTATGGATAAAACAGCAGTATTACAGATTATACAGAGCGAAAACAATTATTTAAAAAAAAAATATCTTAATTTTTGATTTGTTCAACTACGGACTAAAATGCAATCCTAATGTTGCGGATGATTGACTTTAAATATGCTAATTAGTTTGAGCAGAAAATATTTAAAGTTATGAAATCATGAACAATGTGCATTCAATAAGTGTGCAGTTTTTTTTTTGCGACAGATTTTGATTATTAATTCTTAAAATAAGAGTGGTACCCGAAATCTGAAAAATATGGTTCAAATAGTTCAAGGAGTCCAATAGTTTTTTTTCTTTGTCCCTTAAAATTATTTTCAATTTTTGCATAATTTTGCGATATCTCGGGAACCATTTAAGAAAGTTTAAAATTCTTTGTATATAATTATAAAAGTCCAAAAACAATTTAATATAAAGGATTACTTTTTTATTTTTAATTAATGATAATTTTGTATGCTTTTTTTCATTGTTTTTTTAAGAAAGGGTTGACAGATATTTTAATTGTAAGGCATACTTATCACAGGATAATTTTAAATGTGTTTAATTGTGTAATTTATCTGAGAAAATAAAAAATGCGAATGGAATCGGTTGAATACTTTTTGAGAACTACATATAATTTAAAAATGTGACATTTTTAAAAATTTATTACTGCGAAACTGTTCGAACTGTTTCAGACGATTTAGTGTTTTGCCATTTAAGTTAAAAACAAAATAATTTTTTTTTTTAATCTTGCAATTCAAAAATGTTTTTGATCGTTATTATAAAAAAGTTAAAAAATAATAATAAATATATAAAAATTATATTTTGTATGAAATTATCTTAGGACAAAAATTTTTTATCATTGTGTTCAAATTTTTTTTAGATACTCTTACATTTCTTTAGACGGAAAAATAACAAATAAATAATTATTAAAAATTATTTCTTACACAGAATAAAGGAATATTATAATTATGTGCAAAATTTTTTGGTTTACTTAAAATGCAAAAATTGAAATTAACATTATTAAACAATTAACTCAAATTTTCAACCACTCTCTTGCCCAATCGGAATTGCAGATTTGATCCTGATATAGATTTGAGGCTCGAAAATCCGAATACATCGGGAAAAAAGGATTAAAAAAATACATGTTTACTCTAAAATAAAATACGCTTTTGTGTCTGATTTCATGATATGAAATATTGTGTGTCGCAATTTAAATAAATTAGAATATTTTTTAGAACATTATTAGAATATTATTTGTAATAAAAAACCGAAATTTGTCTACCTTCAAAACGAAATAGTTAGTGCTGTAGTACCAATACTGTATTGCTCATTATAATTGATAATAATTGAAATCAGACAAATATTGGAAATTTTTGGACAAATATTAAACTACATTAAAAAAAAATCTTTAACTCGAAAAGCTTTTTCAACGTAAATAAAAATCATTGAAATCAATTAATAATTTTAAATTTTTTGTTTTTGCAAGATCATAAGCAAAACAGCTATGAAGTATATTTTCAAACATTAAAAAATTAATAAAAAATTCTTTTTATTTCTCAAAAACTGAATTTTCTATTATGAAAGATTAAAGAAATGGGTAAAATTTAACTTAATTATAAAAAACAATCACGAAATCATACCAATACACTGTAAAAAAATTCCGGATCAATATATGGTTATTACAACGAAATCCATTTGTGCCGGAACATGTCACGGAGCAAAAATCTGATATACTGTAATTTTTACAGTAATAATTACCATAAAAACACTGAATCACTCTAACTAAATAAATATTAATTTCAAAATTATGGTGTAATATTTTACGGTAAAAAGGAATTTCACAATAAAATAAAATTTTACGATAAAAATGAACTTTACAGTTACATTTACGGATGATGCACCCAAAGTGCCGATACTTTAAGACATGATTTGATTCGAAATTTTTTACAGTGTAAGAATAAAATGTGTCCCGTTAAACGCTATTATTTTAACTGCAACAACAACTAACGACTTCTAAAGTAACAATAACTGTTACCATAAGAATAACTGTTATTAAAAAACATTACGGACTCACAACCTTAATATATTATTCTCTGAAAGGTACCAATCATTTCGTTTTACGCCAGTCTTTGAAAATTGGCCATAAATTTGAACATCTAGTTGCAAGCACAACCATTCTACAACTCGACTCTCATTTTAATTTCTGGCGGCTCATGTGCCATTCTTTTTTCCTTCGAGTACTGTACAAACTGTAAGTGTCATAATAAGAATGTCATATAACTGTCACGATAAGAAAGTTTAACTTTAGCTGTTGCCATTGTTTGAAATTTCTCGGAAAAAATGGTTAAATAACAATTTATTGAATGGTTATTTTACCTTATTTAATAAAATCAGTCAATTAACCATAAATAAAAGGGTAATCAAACTGTTAAGTTTGCGAAAATCTAATACGGTTAAACAACTAAAATTTTATCGCATCAATTAGATCCACCAAATGAAGCTACTTCGTTCTTTGCAACTGCGTATATATCATAGCTGAGCAGGCTTATCTGTCAATCGCATGTCCGGCAGAACTGGAGTTCGAGTCCTAGTGTTGACACTACAGTATTTTCTCCATTCCCTTCACCATAGTAGGAGTTTCCTGTGTTCGGCACTCTCCAATGTCTCCGAGCTCTTATGTCTAGTTAAATAATTATATATTTTTTTTACGTTTTTGAAAAATGCTAGTTGTAAATGGTCAAAAAACCGTATAGTTTTGTATTCATGGTTTTGTAACCATACTTTTTGTAAATGGTTTCAAAACTATGAAGGAAAAAAATGTTCTTTACCGTAACTTTACGGTTAATGAGATGAACAGACAGCTGCCAGTTATTTTACCATAATTTTAGAATGAAAATTTTAACAGGGTAACTGTTAATGTTGCAGTTATGACTTAACTATTATTGATAACTGTTACGTATTTACTATATAGTCATAATAATAACACATTATCCACTTAGGGGTATTATTTCATAATACGAAAAAAGAGCCTTTGGAAAACGATCATAAATGTGAAGATCTAATTATAAAAACCATTATCCATAGTTGTATCTATATTCACCTGAGCTCATGTTTAGATCTACATGTAGATCTGATTTGTGTTGTTCTGACAACACAGCTTCTAGGGGCTCACTTGTCATTCTTTTAACTTCGGACAAAGTCGCTGTACACCGTAGTCTCATTTCATGTTTCTGAAAGTGTCGCTGTTTTACTTCGAATTTGAGTCCGAGTACAGGAGATTCAAGACCATTTTGAAATACTAGCGGCTTTCTGGGAAGTAAGTGTTCTGGCCTTACCTGGAAAAGAAGAACTAAAGTACAACCTATTCTTAATAAAATGAAAAGAAGTACTTCAAGGAAAAGATGCAAATATGAAGTATTCTGTGATGACCGGTTCTTCTGGTTTGTGATGAATTTGTTCAGTAGCCTGTTTGTCTAAAGACAAGTGAACTTTGTCCTTCTCATGTTTTAAGTTATATTTACAGAGAAAAGAAGGTCACAATTCTTTCCGCTGGCAACTTATACTTCGAAACAAAGTCAGTTTCCGTTTTTTTTTTGGACTGATTAAATGAATTGCTTTCATTTCAGTTGGCTATTAAGGACCTTAAATGACTAAAAAAAAAGAAAAGAGTTCTTATACATTGAATTTAGCAAGATGACAAAGATCCGATCTATACACGGAAGATTTTGTAATATATGTGAAGGACTAAAGACGCAACAGGAACGTAATTATAATGCAAATTTGTTTTTTATCCACCGATCAGACAATAGGCCTATAAGAATATTTTTATAACACCATTTAGAGATTGAAATACATAAAAGACCCTTTGCTAACAATTTACTTTGAATAGCAAAAATATGTAAACAAATTCCTAAAAAAATAATTTATTAATTATATTTCATTATGCGAAATTAGCATGCTTAGGATTTTTCGAGCCTTAAAAGTTTCAAATTTTTTAAACTATTGAAGATTTAAGAAGTAAATTAAGAGGAAATTTTCTGTAGATATTTCTAATTTTTTTATTTCTTTAAGCAAATAAATTCAAACACAAATGAAAGCACTTCGGTTCGCATGTTTAATTGAGTTTAACAAAATTTGCTTTAGAAAGGAATTGAAATACGCTATTAAATTTTTTGTTGAAATAAACTATCATCTAAATGATGATAAATAATTACAGTTTTCTCACTTAGAATCACGTAACGTCGAACATTTACTTAAAGTAAAATTTAAGATTGATGGATTGTACACATTAGAAAATTCATTATAAAATTTAAAAGAAACAATTTCTGAGAAAAGAAATAAATTTATGCATTATGAACGCAATATTTTTTTAAAACCTTTTATAGCAAACGATTCTTGAATCAATAAAAGGGAAATATACGTATATTTTGGACAGTGTTACGTGACGTGGAGTATTTGCTTAAAATAAAATTTAAAATGGTAGGTGCAAATTTAAAAAATTGGAAAAAAAATTTCATACGTACAATTAATGAAAAAAGAAATATATATGTGATCGATTGTGAAGTTTTAGAGCAAACGATTATTTTACCTTTTTATTGCAAACGATTTTTAAATAAATAAAAGCGAATTATATGTTATTTGGCCAGAATCGTTTGCAGACATTTCATTTCTCTGATTGTTGCTTTGTCCAATTGCAGTTCAAGTGATCGACGGAATTAACAGCTGAAATATATCCGTAAATCTCTGAAAATATTCTGCAAAACAATTTTAATTCCTTTTGTGAGCAGTGATACCAAGTGGCTATTTAAACTCTTCAATTTCAAAGAAAGTCTTGTAACAATGAGACATTTATTTTTAATCTATTGGATTGAAGGTAAGTTTTCTGTTTCATATACTTCATTTATAGTGTTTCGTTCTTTACATTTATATCTGTATAATATTATCAGTATTTAGATTGTGTTGCGTTTCAAAAAATGCACATCGACAAATTTTTACGATGTTTATTTCTTATTTAAATAATCATGTGCGCAAGTAATTGTCGATGAAATTTTTTTAAAAGGTATCCAAAATTTTATATTAGAAGCAATAATTAGAAAAAAAATAGATTGAACATGAGAAATTGATTTATTTTACATCGTAAAATTACTATAACCAGGATTTTGTTCCCTTTAAATTATTTGTGAAATAAAAATAAGTTTTAAGTGTTTTTTTTTATCTGAAGCAATTATTTGATAAAATAATTAGTTGAATTGATTTTTCAATGATTTTTTTAGAAATAAATTTTAAACAAAAATTGATAAAATAAAAAAGTAATAGGCTTCAATTGCATTGACAAATATATAGAACGAGGTAAATATATTTAAATAGATATCTACTACGAACCTCTTTGTCATTTATGTACCAATGTAGTTCTGCCGGAGGTTGTGAAGGTGCAGCTGTGCAATTTATGTCTACTAAGTCTCCAACATTATATACATGTTTTCCACCATCGATACTTGGACCATCTTTTTGCTGATCTAAGAAAAATTCACAAAATTTAAGTTTGAAATAGAAATGGAACCCTGAATTATAATTTAAATATGGCTGTATTAAAAAAATTTATTCAAATAAACATATAAATGTTTCTTAAAATTATTGTTGGCGTATGTTTGCTCAAAACGATATAAGGATGTATTTTTAAATCATTTGTGATTTAATTATCAAATATTAAAATTGAATGTGTTTGTATGAATGCATTTGTAATATGAAAATTGAATAATGAGTTTAACTATTTTAATTCCTCGATAGTTTTCATTATAGAAATAGAACCATGAATTATAATTTAAATGTGACTGTACAAAATTTTTTTATGCAATTAAACATATAAGTGTTTCTTAAAATTTTTGATTATTGTGCAAAATGATATTAGGATACATTCTTAAATCATTTTAGATTTAGTTTTCAAATATCATTAAAGTATTTGTGATATGAAAATTGAATAATGAGTTTAGCTATTTTGTTTCCTCGATAGGTTTCATTTAACCAAATTCCGACCCCTCACCCTCTAATCTCTTTTGAAACCACATAATTACCCTTTACGGATCACTGCTACCATGAAACCTTTGCTTACTTTTTACATTGTCGCGGATGTGGTTAAAAAAATCAGTAATTTATTATTTTATTTTTATATTTTATTATTAATTATATTATTTTATTATTGTTAATAAATATGATTATAATAATTATGATATTAAAATGTTAGTTACATTTGGTGAGAAGTAAACCTGAAATATTTCTGGGCCGTAAAGGGATAAGACTTAAAAAATATGTACCATAATAAAATTTTTTTGATGTAAAACCAATGCAGCGTGAATGAACCTTTTAAAAACCTCAAAAAAGCAAACAATAGCAAAGGTCAATATATTAAAGGAACGCTTAATCTTACCTACTAATTTTAGACTTCGAAAGATTTTTAAAACTTTTAAACTGAGAAAAAAATTGCTTGAATTACTTTTGGAAAAAAAACTTTGATCGAATGACGTGGCATATAAGTAAATTATGAGAAGTAAAGGTTAGCAAATTTTCTTGATTTTGCGAAGACACTATAGAATGTGAATGTTATTGTACTGTAAAAAATTTCAAATTTTTAGGTACTTAGATTTATAATATTCAGTCATACACTGAACTGAAATATTTGAACTGTTTTAAGAGTCCCTTATCTGATGTAAGAGATAATTTAATTGAATACGTAAAAACAAGTTGAACAAATTCAAACAAAATAAGAGTAAAAAAAAATCTGATTATTCTAAGAGAGTTTTTATGATATAATTTTGCTTAATTGAATTTTTTCATATTAATTGTTAGGTATAAAATATTTTGATTCTAAATCCACTCCTAATGTACCAGAGATGAACGAAGAAGATAGATTTATCAAGCATCACATTTAAAATTCCAAATATTTAATTTTTTAACAACAAAGCCATAAAACCATTTCTAAAAAGATTATTTTGAAAATAATTAAAAAGGAAAACAATTCCATTGAAAATAAATCATGAATATTTATATAGTGAAACAAAGTAGCAAAAATTCGTTCGCCTTAACGTTTATGAGATCAACTTTTTCCCTTCACAAAGAATATTTGATTTAAAATGTCATTATTAGATTATGAAGTTTTCTTTAATTTTTTAATTTACAGCTTAATTTCAGAATCAACAAATTTCGAATTTTAATAATTCTAACAATGCTTATCTGCACATTTATCCACATAAAATTTATGAGAAAACTAAGCCATTTTAATAAAATAGAAAACCATGTCCTAAACACACACGAAAAAAAAATATAAAAAAATAAACTAAAAAAGCAGACATTTTTTTTCAATGCTGTAAATAACGTTAATGGTGTCGTAATAGAGGCTAAACGTTATTTTTATGTCATAAAATTTGAATTAGTTTCAATTTCATAATAAAGTGCATCATTTTGTACATAATTAATGTAAGGGAGTATGGAATTTAAGGAGTATTCGGGAGTTTGAAATCGCATTTATCTGAAGAAGGTAAACTCCTGAGTTCTACCCAAAAAGATTGAGCAAAAAAAAAGGAAAANATAAAATTTGAATTAGTTTCAATTTCATAATAAAGTGCATCATTTTGTACATAATTAATGTAAGGGAGTATGGAATTTAAGGAGTATTCGAGAGTTTGAAATGGCATTTATCTGAAGATGGTAAACTCCTGAGTTCTACCCAAAAAGATTGAGCAAAAAAAAAAGGAAAAAAAAAAAGGCAAAGATCACTGGAATTGTAGAGCTTAAAATTACATGAAAAGGAAACTCCATGAAAGGATTTACTTTCTTGTTTACAAAGTTCATTCGTTTAAACACACGCGAACAGTCGACGTCGTTCAAGTACTCAAAAATAAGAGCCCATTTTCAAGACCTTTCGGATGTGCATGAGAAAAAACAAAATTGATTGTTATGAAATCAATTCTGGGCACTCGAACGTGTCGACTGTTATTTTCAATTTGCATTATTCTGCTAATATTTAATTATTAATATTTAACATTATATTTTTTAATAATTCATAATATTTTACTGCTTCAGTTTGTTGGGATTATCTACTTAAAATTTCTTCACATTATACTTGTATAATAAATGAAATCATTAGCTTTTGACGCTTTAAATTTATTAGAAATAAATGAAATAAGTAATTTATTTTTTGCAAAATTTTTAATGCAAAAAATTAATATTTAATTTGTTTTAAGTCGGGTTAGAAATATAAATGTAATATTTCAAAAATCATTTTATCGAAAGAAATTATCTTGGTTTTACTCACAATATCTGAAATGTCAAACATACTATAATTATTTAATCTTAAAATCGATTTTTTAGCGTATAAAATATTAAAATATTTCAATTTATAAAACGGTAAGGATTTAAAATATAAGAATTCCATTCGGTTTTCCCGAAGAAGCATAAGCCCCATAGCAATAAAGAGCGATTTAAATGGCTCATTAATATTAAATCGGTCACTATATTAAATCTCTCTCACCGTAAGCTCCAGTGGCAATGTATGTGCCACTGTTGGAAATGATAATTTCTTCGCTTCTTAGAGTATGCGCCTGAGAAATGATAGCTTCACACTGCAGTTTCATTTTTCCTTCCCAAAAATTGCTTGGTTTGGCGATGAATTTCAATGTAAGCATTGATGTGAAAAGTCCATCTGGCGATTCTATGGAAGGCATCCGATTGGTCCTCGCCTGCCAAGAAAGGGAAAAGTATGTATATTAGTTACCTTGGAAAATCAATAAAAATGACTACCATTTTCAAGATGCTTTTTAAGTTTTCTTTTTGCTTATTATATTTGGTTATAAGCGCACATTCATGATTTTTAGATATTAGGTTTTGTAATTTTTTAATTTTTGGTATGGAAAATATTCGTTACCCATGCGAATATTCTTCTTAGACACTACAGCCAGTTAACGGCCAAGATCGTCTTACCTCTATTCGCTGCTATATTTCTCCATCTATTACTCCCAAGTCCCTTAACCAATTATCTACTCTATCTAACTATTTTGTTCTATGACTTCGTCTTTTTTTTTCTAGGTCTTACCTCTAGTGTTTGGAAGGTTATTTTTTTAAACAGGATTTTCATCGCTTTATTAAAAAACATGTCCTAGCCACCTTATTTCAGAAACCTTGATCATTTTTACTGTCTTAGGTTCTTTGTATTTTGATTGTAACTATAATGGTTGCAACGAATTCTCCCGGTTCCGTTTTCTATTACTGAATCAAAATTTTTTTCAATATTTTTCTCTCGAAAGTCATTTCTTCGTCTGCTTTGTTAATTGCCCAACGAAAAATTAAGTACTATGAAGTATTAAAACCTACAGAATAAGATAGCAGGGCAACATTTTCAGAAAAGAATAGTGCCCTAGTTAATAAACTGACTTTTTGAAAAATTATTGGTGTTTGAAAAAGGGAAGACAAAATAGAAGATGTATTGACTCCGTAGGAAAAGATCTGTAAGTAATAGGGCATAGATATATGACGTAACACAGTATTTGGCAAAACCAACTATCTCTCTCGTATGCCTGTTCAGGCAGAGGGGTGCGATTGTTCTTGTTTTCGAGTGGAGCCATCTATGACCAAGAATTTAACTTCTGCCACACCCATACGTCACACCCGTTTATAGGGTGGATTGATGCATTCATTCATTCATCCGAAGATAGTAATTTTGACCAGAAACAGAGAACGATCAATCTCCAATCCAGTACACCCAGAGGTATTGATTTGTTAGGTGAACATGGAGGACTTTGCGACTCGACAGATTTAGCGTGCATCAGTCACCATTTACTACACCGGGAGTCTTAGGCCTGCGGGGTTCAAACCCTTTAACTCCGGACATGGGCCCAGAGCCCAATCGATCAGGCTATTCCGGCTTGATAAAACCAACTGAACACAGCTTGTTGGGACGGCTAGGACTTGTACTGAACTGGTACGCTAATGAAAAACAAATTTCAGAGAACAAGATTTAATTCACAGATGCTTTCATTATTTGGCGAGTGTGTTTCGCAGCATGTAAACATAGGTTTTTATAAAGTATTTTAGAATGGTAGAAACATATGAAATTATTTAATTTGAAATATTTGATTGAAAACTAGCTTTCAAGAATTTTGTCAAAATATGTAATAATAAGGCACTTTTATGTTCTTTTTTTACGCTCAAATAAATACAAAAAACGTAACAAAATTAAATTAATCAAATATTTATTATGTTACGTTACATTCTGCAGTTTTCCTTTATTTGTATTACATCTCAAAGAAAATTGCTCTATTTTTATAGCTGTGAAAATATTCGTTTATCTAAGTATTTCTTGGGTGAAAATTTTTGTTTTTCTTCCATCAATTTAGATTTTTCTCAAAATATCAGAAAGTAAAGTTAATTCAATATTTAAATTTTACTCCCAGTGTTACATGTACTGCTAAATTAGATATGAGGAGAAATAAATAAACGTTAATAAAACAATCATTCACCTTACCTCTTCTCCATTAATCCACCACTTTAAAATCGCCGCGGGTCTTGAGGGAGCAGACACACACGTGACATTTACTAAATCTCCTGGGGCATAGTAAGGTTTTGTTCCTTTTATGATTGGTTTGGAGCTGGGATTAACTGAAAAATAAGTATAGCTCATAAAAAAATATAAAAATGAATAATATTAAAATTTTAATTAAGGAATATCACTCATTCTTTAATTTTTGATCTCCATTGGACCTTAAAAAAATGAATTTATTATTAAAAGATGTACATGAATGCTTTTCTAAGCAAGTCTCATTAAGACCTGGGAGTCGGAATATGCTAAAAATATCTTCAAAATTAACTCTTCGAAATGATCAGAGAAATTAATAAACAATATGGAGTAATTAAGTTTTATTTATTACATTGTAAAAATTATCAGGAAATTAATAAGCAAATAAAAATTTAGAAGCTTGCAATTTCGAATATGAGATTAAATACAATCATGTGGTTATTATCTAACACTCAAGAGGTTTAAGAATTTGATTCAAGCTTATTGGATGAGAAATTCGAGATCTAATTTTTTTTCTTCTTCTTAATGATGTTGTGTCCTTAATTTCAGGCTCTTGCTTTGTCTAAAGTAAGGGACGAAATCATATCGGACAACACTTTAGATAAAACTTCACGCATACAAAATCGGTGCTGACAAAAGCCATCGAGAATGAAAAATATCTTTATAAATTTACACGAGCACAGTAAACATTCATCTAATCTCAAGCGTATATGCTTTAATGTAAATGCACTTATATCAAATGTACTTGCTGTAACGAATAATATTTGTTGTAAAAAAATTATGTAGGATAAAATCCTGCAAGGATAATATTTTACACAGACAAAATTGATGATGATAAAAACCAGTAACACACCATGACAATTTTTAGAAGTATTTAAAAAATTTATGCGGACAGAGTAATAAAGATGAAATGTCTAAAGTATATAAATAATGCAATATTAATTTCTTAAACTACTATAACTAAGACGGTATTATCGAGACAAATATATTATAATGAATTTGATTTTAATTTTAAAGAAAGATTGAACTTGATATAAAAATTTTTAACGATAGTTTGATAACAATTTTTTATTAATAAAATTTTTAAAATTTCTCATAAATGTTAAAATTTTTTGAATAGCCAAGTTTATGAATGATTAAACTTTGCAGCAAAATTTTTTTTACAGTTCTTCTTCGATTATTAAAGCATTTATTTTAATTCAAGTCTTATCATAATAAATCTGAGCAAAGTGTTTAAATAAACTGCCCAGTATTATTCTATTCGATATTTTATTCATTCTGAAGGCCAATTTAGTTCCACAAAATTTGTTTAAAAGATTCTTTCTTCAAAGAATAGCGAGGGAAATTTTTTTCTCCATCCTACTCTACAACCAAAGTTAAGGTATTATTCAGTTTTAACGTCTCCCCCAAGAAAACCACCTCAACTTTAAACCTTATAAGATAAACCAATTCAATTTTGCTCTCACCTTAAAAAGATGTTAAATTATATAATGTTTCTGTTCAAGTTAAATCATAGTATCATGTAATAAGTTTTTAGAAGTTCGATAATATGGTGCACGTTAGCATCATGTCAGGAATTTTGAGCAAAATTAAGATTCAAAGCGCGTCGTACTTTTTAGCTATATATTAAGAAAAAAACTTTAGATACACGGAATTTGCTTTTGAATCACATTGAACTATTTATTACAAAAAATAGATCATTCGCTATTCATACTAAGCATTGAAACAAGCTTTTTCATTGTACTTAATGTTCCAGTGTTTTTGTACTACTTTATAGCATTGCGTTATTATTCTTGATGCCCTGATATCTGGTTTTGTTCATATGAATGCTGATTCTCTTGTTAACGACATTAGTTCCTCACCACATCTCCACAACAAATGGTAAAGCATTGTACCTTGATTTGTCCCTCCTAGCCACAGTGTGTTTTCTTGTACCGTTTTTCATATTTTTTTTTGTACCGCAATGAGCTGATTGTAAGGATAGATTCCCGATAGAACACGGAAGTCAAGCGTCACTGGCTGCTGTAAGTAAGTGGATGGGTGACCACTTTGATCGGTCTATATATAGACCGAGTTTTTGCGGCATCAAAGTGCTCGATCCTGCGCACAGGTCATTGGGCTACCGAAGCGGAGATGCCATCTTCTCTGCAGTGGATCAAAATTGCGATGGCATGTCTTCGGATCATCCTCTGGGATCCCCGTCGCCAATAGCCCATTGTGCAGCTTTAATGCGACATAAATAAAATACCTACCTCATATTTTCTCATTCTCGGCTACTGAGGTTTTTCTTGTTTTGCTTCTCACCTTTATTTTTCGTCGGCAACTTAATGTTTTTTTTAATTATAAATCACTTTTATTTCTTTTTACTCACGTCTGGCAAGTCTTGAAAATGGGGATCTATTTTTGAAGCGCTCGAAACATTCGACTGTTATATTTTTGAAGCGAATGAAGTTTTTGGTCGGGTAATTTTGTGTTAGCGTTACTCGAGTGCTATTAAAGAATTAAAGTTTCATGACAGTACGTGTTGACTAAGTTATACGTACTTTATTAAAAGCCTTTATTGTTAAGAATTAACGAAAGCGTTATTTTGTATTTTTAGTATGTCCAATATTTTACGAAAAATATGTGGGATTTGAACAGCAATGACAAAGCAATTTGAAAAAGTTCTTTCAGTTTTCTAATAAAACTTGCATTTTGCGAGGAAGACAAGGGATAATAATTAAAAAATACATCGCGAAACAAATACTTTATTTATAAAGTAACCACACCACCTTTCAAGATAAGTAACTTTTATGAACCAAACCAAAATCAACTTATCCAAGGGAGGAAACAATACTTCACCTTCTTATCAGCCCAAATAAAGTTCTAAAACCAAAGTTTCATTTCCCAACTATCAAGAAGCCGAACGTTGGTGTTTAATATCCAACCAGCCTCGAGGTATTTTCACCAATTAATGAAACGTTACCATTTCCTTTTGCCGCGTTCAACACTTAACGGAAAGCATTTGGCATTAAAATCTCCCTCCTACCCCGCCACTCCTGAACAAATAAATAAAATTCAACTCCCTCCAAACAACTAACCAGAAAATGTGGTCCAACACTCACGCCAAAATGAATTGAAAACGCACATTTCCTTCCCCCCTTACACATTCTTAATTGCCAGTGGCGCAGACTTCATGAATAATGTAGGGAAAGGGGTGGTAATTTTCATACTCTGTTTCATTTTCTCATAATTGTCTCCATTTACTTTCGCCTGTGGTACATAGAGGGGGATGTCTGATGTAGAGAGGGGGGAGTTGTAAGTTGTTTAAGAAAGAAACTCATGGGATATATATTTTTGGTAAACTCAAACATTTGGAACTGCTTTTTTGTTTTTGATAATTTCTAGATTATTCCGAAAACGAATAAAGTACTTAAGTTTCGTACTAATGTTGATTGTCTGGTGTTTAAATGCGTTTTATATCATTGATAATATTATTTTCCTTTAAACTTTTTAGGACAGTTCAGTAAATTGTTTGTAATATCATAAGTAAAATTAATAATTACTGCACGCGTTATAGTAAAGTAAGTTTGAAGTTAAATATTCTGAAGCTCAGCATATTTTATTAACGATTTGGTTAATTTCGATAAATTTCATTTTTCTTTAAAATAATAATTTTCGAATTTGGGATTTCGAATTTATTATGTACTGATTTTTAGTGATTTGAGTTATTGTTAATCTTTGAAATCTGGAAAAGACATTTTTTATATATATATAAAGTTACAAGAATTGTATGTACCAAGCAAAAGCTCTTTAACAACTTTTGATCTAATGATCAGATTCCTTCGTTCTAAGACGCAATTTTAATGGTTCGATGGGCGGATAAGCCAATTAGTGCGTGCAAACGATATTCATTACAAAAGAAAACGCACATTCACATCACAAAATGCACATTATCTGAATAAATAGTTTCTTTCTCTTGTAGATTCGACAGAGATGTGTGGCATCTTATGAAAGTTAAACAGTATTATGGTTCAGTCTCCTGATAATGCATCCTAGTTAGAATTTCCATTCTAAAAGTACGGTAAAAAAACCGGCAGCAGCCTGTTGATCCAACTAACCATAAAGTTTAAGGTTAGGAAAATTTTTCCCCTTTTCAGGTTTGAAACCGCTCGCAACTAGTACGGTTTGAGAACAATAAATAAAAAGCTATACGGTTTTGTAACCATTTACAGCTAGCATGGTTTTAAAATCGTAAAAGTGGAATTTAACAGAGCAGTGTAGTTATGTTAGACTTTTCGTTTGGTATAAGGACATTGGAGTTAGGTTATTGGATGGACATTGGTGTTTTGTTAAGTAAACCGTGCGATGCGGCTTAATTAGTGTTTATTTAGTCGTCCCATCTGTCGTCATAGTTGGGAAATATTAGACTTTTTTATGTTAAGCAGCTCAGTAGTGCTTCCATCTGTACGTGAATAAGAGCTTCGAATTCCAAGAGTTCATGGTCACAAATTGATGAGAGGCTGAAAAAATGAAGGAAATATTGGGATGCCAATGCTGGGATTTGAATCCCCGTTTATCCGGGCATGAGATTGACAGATTAACTTCATTGGTAAATTCTTTATAAGTTTTTCTTTTATTCAACAGGGAAGTAAAATATACACAAGCTTCTTTTTTTAATTTTATGTGGGTTATCACTTCTTAACCTCGAGGTCTTTAATATTAGGCCTATTTACATTTTTATATATTCACAAAGTCAGCACAAATGTGTACATTCACAGAATATATAGAGACGATTGCAAGAACAATAGATAGACTAATACAATTAATAAATAACTTATAGGAAAAATAAATGAAGAATGTCTAGAGATTAATGAAACCAAAATTATTATGATTTTGTCAAAATTGGAAAAGAGAAAAAAAACACAAGATCTAAAAATTGATGATAAAATTAAAAAAAAAACATTTACAAGTGCGATTTGCTGATATCTGTAACGAAATAAGCAATAAATGTGAAATTCCTGATTGCATAAACAAACAAGCATAAAATGGAAATAAAGAGGTATTTGCGCATAATAAATTATAAAAAAAATAAATTAATATC